CAGAGCTAGTCAACAGGAATAAGCCAGAAGAAACACATGAAAATGCAGTTTCTATGCAGCAAAAAAATTTTCAAGCACATCACATCTTTCATTCACGGCAAAAGCTCAAATGTCAATTTTTCTATCTCATGAACAGAAGTCTTCCATTTCTCAGATTAATTTTCCAACAAGAGCACTACCTCCAAAGCTAATACAATTTTTAATATTTTAAACATTTATATATAAAATGCTGTTTATTCTCTATTACAACCATTTCCTTTTACTTACAATGGAACAGTGCAATCCTAAAAAGACTGTGATGTACTTAATACAACTAAACTTATTTCTATGCTATTATTTTCCTATCATTCTAACCTTCTTCTGAAATTCCCTCACTTATAGTCTGGAAGGACTGTTCAGGAGTGATATCCCCTATGTTATCATCTACTGTTCTCTCCAAGTCTGCTACCTCCTTCCCAATACTTGCGAGGACCTCTACTGGAATTTCTGAGCCACGCTTGTAGTTTACATTTACAAACTTTTGCTATTAACAAAAGGCACATGTCACTTACAAGTTCAACAAACACTGCAGAAACATATATTAGAGCATCTATTAACAAATATGTAATGACAATTTATGATTTGTAAAACATATGAAAATACAGAAAGATTGGTCATGCATAACACTGTTTACACAAAATGTGATAACTGAAGATTGTAGGAAAACCAAATTATCAATATTCACAACTCTCTGTTTATAACATGTACATAAATATTTTCAAGGATAAACCAGGATAAAAAAACTGTATACTACAAGTAAAATATGTCCCTGGGAAGGGCTGACTGACCCCTATGAAATAATTTTACACGTCACACACCCCTTTCAGATCCACACCTGAACTATTAAAGCTGGTTTGTGAAAGTTCTCAAATTGTCCCATTTGCCACAAATGTTTGATCATTCCTTAATCTAAATCAAGTCAGAGAATTTTAATCTTCTGTTTATACAGAAACTGCAATATTTAATCAACTTGTAGAAGGATGGTGAGCAGCAGTAAACATACTTTGGGCTGTAGTGTACAGAATTCAATACCAGGAACAAAATAAATGCAACCAACAAACAGAACTGAGACAGGTAAACATATTTTTAATGAGTTATCAACATTCATTTGTCCTCATGGGACCAGACTTATTTTGTTAATTGTTGCCAGACCATATTTATCTTCATTATGACAGGAAATTCTGCTTTCCATTAAGTAAGGTCCAGTATCTAATCTTCACAGCATGGGAAAAATATGTGGAGGAATGCCTTTCCCAATTACCTAACACCAGACAGCAGGAAAAGCATTCCTATAGAAGAATTTTCACAAAGCTCCTCTACATGCAGCATCTCAAGCTATTTTATCAATTTAAAAAAATATGTTAAATTATACTAAGTTGTCAGGGTTGTCCAGAATACTTGATTCATTGAAATTTCTTACACTTCTGTTGAATAGAGGCTCCTACATAGAAGACACAAGTAAGAAATCCCAATGTATCAAATATTCTGGACAATCCTGATGATGAAATTATGCATGATTTACAACTGACAAAAGAGTTTTAATGCTGGATGTAGGGAGAAATGAGCAAGTGCGGGTCAATATTAATTTAATTTTGAAACAAACTGAACTTCTCAAGATCTCTGAGTTTTTCAGCTGAATGTAATATTTCTATTGTACTATCCTCGTAACAGTAAGCAGGGACTTTCCTGTTGGTCTTGTGCACGCTTAGGTGCATAATGAATCTCAAAATCAGGGCAATGTTTCTAGTCTACTATTTCCAGTACTTTATAATAAACACTCACCTGGGCCCGTAGCAAAGATTCTGATGCATTGCTGTCTTGTTCTACAACGACTTCAGCATGGTGGTTCAATCGCTTATAGTCTGTTGCTAGTACTGAACTGATATCCTTGATTTGGGTGGTTGGCTCATTAATCTGAGGTGTAGGCACACTCTCAATGGACTGACTTGAGGTTGGAGTAAACTTTCTCTGTAATATCCTATTTAACTGTCCATTATCCTCTCTTTCAATTCTTTTCACGATTTCTTTATGTTTAATATCACATTTTTCATATTTTACATTTAATTCTTTCATCAGATGCTCTCTTCTTCCAACCAGTGCTTCATCCGTTACATTATTCTTCAGAGTAACAATTCTTCCGGTATATTCAGCTTCCTGTAACAACTGTTCAACTACAACATGTGAAGGCACAGTTTTTAAAATGTCATTTGATGTGCTTGCAATAGGAACTTGGTTGGCAGGGTCATGAATGTCTGTACCTTCCACTTGGTCCTTAAACAGAACATGTTTATGTGTAAGGTTTGGTCTCTGAAGACTGCTGTCATGTTTCATTGGTGTTTGGGCATTGAGTGCTTTTGGAACAGTTTCATCATGTGAACTTAATACTGAATATACTGGCCTAACTTGAGGATGATTGCTGGACACTACTTGTATCAATATATGTGGTTGAGATAATGGTAGTGGCTCATTTACATTCAGTGTCTCAGTGTGGCTAGAGGGACCCAATTGCACCTGTTTATCTTGTTCCAAAATTCTTTCTATAAATGGTGCTGCAGTGTTTGTTTGTGGCTGCTTCACCTGATCTTTTGGCATTAACTGCACCAACTGATGACCTCTGTCAGGTACTTGTGTCTGAACATCGGATTTGGGAATCTGAATGGTGGATTTTGCTTGCACTTGTTTTCCTTCCGTAGATGTTTTCACGCTGCAGTGTGCCTGTTGCTTTCTCTCACTTTCTTGCTTAGTCTGAAAAAATCAGTAAAAGTTACATGTAATACACAACAAAGTTAGTGGTGATTATTTTCACTCCTAAATATACTAAATATACAGGCTGCTAATGAGAAGCACGTGTAGACACCTTCATTTGCAATACTACAAATATTTTATGTCAAATCTTATAAGCACATCTCTCAACAAATTCTTAACACTTTGCATACTACATACCAACTAGACTGCCTCATAGTACTTGCATTACAATCTTCACAGCTGAAAAGATTGGCTTATTGTTAATCAATTAGTGTAGCACTTCTCTCAATAGATGACATTAAATTTTTCAGTTGTTGCTTACCAGTCATTTGAAGAAAGTACTACGAGTTTCTCTATGCAACTGCATTTAACCCCAGTAGCCTTGATTTTTCTAGCAGGACTATGACAGGACTTAGCAGTCAGAGGGACAAGGTACATGTGTTGATAACCTTTGAATCAGTGAGCTGCCATCTTCTATAAAACACTTTGAAAACTTTTAAAAAATAACTTTCTAACTTTTATCTGTAAAGAGCCTGTATTTTGGAAACAGGACAAATACTGTCGAATACTTGGGAAATCAACAACTGAAATTTGAGGTCATCATAATGGTGACTATGTAGGGAACTGTCTCCTGGCATGTAACACAGTGTAGTCTGATAGATGCTTACCAGTATATTAGAGGAATGTACTGCTTATATATTTAGGGCAGAAGAGAGGGATGAGGAGTGAAGATGGAGGCAGCATGTTCCTCTGAAACACTGATGTCTCTAAGATTACATGGTATCACTTTCCTGAAGAGAGTAATGTTCAGGGATCAACATACTCTTTTAGTATCTCAAAATCATGCTAAGGAAACAATACAAATTTTGAAATGTCTCATAAATTTATTTTCATAACTTGTTCAACATTCCATTCATTTCCCTTTTACTGCTTATTCCTACAATATTGTACATATATACATACAATATTATATTTAAGCATCCTGTTGCACTCCATATGATAAATGATACAAATTCTGTCCCAAGTGCAAACAATATATTATGTGTCCTTGATCTAGCTCCTCTACACTACATGTTTCGGCCTCAGACGGCCATCATCAGGTGTATAACACTCACGTTGCTGTCACACTGCACCCAGCCCAAAATTTAACATTTAAAACACTTTCCTTGTTATTATCAACATCTACTTCATTGATATCTGTCTGGATGTAGATTATTTTACACATGTTAATTTTGATGTTCCTGTAGTAGCACTATAAAATCTTTAGTTCTAATTTTAAAATCTTTTAAAATTTTTCTCTAAATTTTAAATTTAAAATTGTTAGGGTTACTCGCCCTATGTCTAAAGTGCTGCAGCGGCTGAACACACGTAGTAAAGAATAACAGCGGCACGCACACAGGAAGACTACACAGGATAACACCTATACAGTGTGGAAACAAGAACTAGCCGCTGCAGCACTTTAGACATAGGGCGAGTAACCCTAACAATTTAAAATTTAAAATTTAGAGAAAAATTTTAAAGGATTTTAAAATTAGAACTAAAGATTTTATAGTGCTACTACAGGAACGTCAAAATTAACGTGTGTAAAATAATCTACAAACCAGACAGATATCAACGAAGTAGATGTTGATAATAACAAGGAAAGTGTTTTAAATGTTAAATTTTGGGCTGGGTGCAGTGTGACAGCAACGTGAGTGTTATACACCTGATGATGGCCGTCTGAGGCCGAAACATGTAGTGTAGAGGAGCAAGATCAAGGACACATAATATATTGTTTGCACTTGGAACGGAATTTGTATCATTATATCATTTATCATATACATACAATTCGTAGTGACTAATGTGACACCAGGTACTGACTAAAATATGAGAGACAGTGACAAAAATGCAGGGTAATGCAACCTCACAAAATTCTGCAGTAAAGATGAGATCAAAACTATGTTGGTTAAATCAATGTTACTGGACATGATGTTGAATCAGGCAGATCACTTCTACAGCATAACAAATTGCATACGAATTTCACCTGCATATTCTGGGCAATAATAGCTTCAATTTCTGTCAGACGTTGCCTGGATTCCTCCACAGAATCTAGCCGATTCATTTCTGCTTGGAACTGCAGGTGGAGAGCAGATGGATGAAGCTACATAAAGAAATAAAGTATCAGGCAAAAGAACTATTTACAATTTGATATAATCAAAATTAAAGAGACATTATATAAAAAAGTTAACTAACGTCATATGACTTTCATATGGTAAGTACATAACATATTCCCTTTATTAAGTGTTGGTACTGCCTCAAAAAGACCTTTCCTTCACACAAATTAATTATAAATACCTTATGTCCTTATGACATGAACACAAAAAATACATTTACAATGAGACAGAGAACAAACAGTACACAGAGGTTTTTATTCCAGTTTAACATTTACTGCAGCCCAATCTTTATAAAAATAATTCCACATATACACAAGGAGTTAGCAGAAGAACTCACAAAGACTACTTTCCTACTGCCTAGATACCTTGTCCTACAGACTTATTATTATTATTACAGTTATTACTTTATTTTATATTTGGGAAGTCCTTATTACTTAAATATAGGATTTGTCAATAACAAATTTGTTGCACAACCTCCAAGTTTTGCAACATCATCATGTTTGTAATTGTAAACTTACAAACTTACATAATATGTATGTATGTTTATGATTTGTCTCTGTATGAAGCTTCACACTTCTAGCTTCTCTGATTCCTGTGTCACTGCCATCATACAGCTAGCTTAAGACAGATTTTTACACAACTGCCATGGTGACCTTTTGTGTTCTGCAGAATATTACCTCTCAAAAAGTGCATACTCTTTGAATATCTATTAACACACATCATATGAGGGCCCTATAAAATGAACTAACAATAAGAAATGATATGGGATATCCTCACATAGAATTGGATTATAAAATCAATAATGAGAACATTTACATGAATATATGTGTAAAGATATATTTGAAGATACACATCTTGTAAGAACTTCATGAGATACTTTAATATTAAAAACAGAAAATTATTCTAAAGTGAAGTGTAACACTTATGAAACTATATAGTATGACACTTTTAAAGAAAAACTGAAAAAAATTAGTTGATATATAAAACACACTATAGCTTATGTAATTGTGTAAGATGTGATCTTGATAATGATCCTAGGTTCAAAACATGTCAGAGTGAATGAAATAGTAGATTCATAGATGTTGTACTGGATAGTTATTATGTCTGTCAATTGTATTATCAGTTAGCTCAATATACGTACCATTCTTCCAGTTTCTATGATATCAGCTATACCTCTAGCATGAGTGACATCCGGCCTTGAGGGCTTGCCAAGATGAGGATCAATCTTTTCTTCATCTTGATCCTTAACATCAGATCTCATTTTATTCTGAAAATCCTTTATGTTCTCCTTCTGCTTGTTCCCTGAATTTGTATACAGTTGCTCATTATGGATGATTCCATCATCTTGCCTTTTGTCTGTGTGTCTGAAGACACTGATATCTCTAAAAGAATTATTTCCCTTCCTGTAGGCTTTATGTACAATGCCAGTAGAGGAAGGAACCTGATCTACATGTTGCCGCTGAACAGTATGACTATCCCATGTGTCTGAGCCAGAGTTCTCTGCCTGGCAAGAAGAGTTGGCTGGTATTGCTGCAATTCTTTCATTCTTACGCCTTAATTCCACATTAGGTGCAATCAATCCATAATGTCTATATTTGAATTTCTTTGGCATAACTGCTGGTCTCCCAGCAGAAGAAAAAGATCTCATGTTTCTTCCCATGTTAATTTTTTCACAGTTCTTCATAGAAAAGGAAGGTCTAATAATAATTTCTGAGTCTGATTTACTCCAGTGCACTGGCTCAACTCTACTAGGCAAAACTTCCTGGGGTGACTTAACATTCAGACGTTTCTTCCATCTCACTCTACTCTCATCTGAGCTAGAGTGGTGCTCAGCCTCGAGGGCTGAGGAGTTCACTGACAAGCCATCTTCATACCGCATGCTCTCATCATCAGTGGTAAGGTATGAGTCATCCTCTTTGTGGATAAGTTGAGGGTCTGTCAGCTGCTTCTTAGTCTTCTCCTTTGAAGCATCTATAACTGGCAGTGCCAGCCCTAACTCAAGGGTCATATTTGTTTGTTGTGTTTCTGATTGTTCTTTTATATGTTCATGATTTGCTTGCACCCAGTATGGCTGCCTTGGTCCAGATTTTGAGAAAATGGTATTCTGAATTGCAGTCATCATGTTATAAGGACACGGTTCAACATACGATGGTTTCAACCACTCTGATAATGGGTCATCAACTGTTAGAGAGGAAGGAGGGAACTCAGCTGCCTTCAAATATCTGTCACCATCTTGTGATTTTGTATCTCTTGTGACCTGAAACAGAAACCACACACTTTACACCCTGCATTTGTTTTCTTCTTTTGGGAGGGGATGTCTATAAGGCCATCAGTAAAATGGGACATTTGGCTCAGATGTAATGTGGATGCTAGATAAAAATAAAATACAGCCAGTATTTAATGCATCCATGGTGAACCTAACCTCAAAGTAATGCTAGGAGCATAATCCGGTGATGTTTTACAGAGTTACCATAATCTCCAATGCTGAAAAAATATAAAATACAGGATTTAATAAGCTCTTATAAATATTCATCAAAATGACATCTGACAGATACACCTACTGGCAGAACTGGTATATGATATTCAAAAGACAATGTTTCGGAGACTGGATATTGTCTCCTTCCTCAGGTAAAAGCCCAATTGATAGAGCTAGCCCCTGTCCCTGGACACATAAGCACCAACACAAGACAGGATATATACACCAAACACAACATGAACCACCACTGGGAGTTAAGACAAACTTTAAAAAACTCCACATATGTGGCCTTGAGCCTATAGCCATGCATAATTTAATGGCCAGAGTCTATACAATCACATTACTATCAAAATAGAAGCCAACACTAAAGAGACAAATTCTATGTAGTACCAACATGAAAATACAAATTTCCCACATAATCTACACTGGATGGAGTTGGTTCTCTCACTTCTGCAGCAATGAGGGAAGTCCAGATTGGAAAGATGTCCAAGCTGGGTTGACTAATTGGATGAGCTACCAGACACATATTCCTTGTATTATCTGTAGGTGGTGTTCAGTTTAATCTGCAAGAACTTTGCTTCTTTCCAACATATTTTGTGGCCTTCTTCAATGGCATGGTGGGCTAATTTTGATTTGTTGTTGTGTTTTTCATACATAAGAAAACCATATCTTCAGTTAAAGTGATGAGATGTACATAATGCTAAGAGGTCGCTGGTGAGATATCATTGTTCTGAATGTTTATACCCCAACAGAGGATGAAATTGATGATATGAAGGGCAGGTTCTAAAAAGAACTAGAATGTGTTTTCGATAAATTCCCTAAATACCATATGAAAATTTTGTTAATTGATTTCAATACCGAAGTGTGTAGGAAAGACATTTTCAAACCAGTGATTGGGAATGAGAATTTACACAGAATTAGTAATGATAATGGAGTTAGAGTAGTAAAGTTTGCACATACAAAAATCATACTAATGATGATGAGAAAATGATACTAAAATGGGATCTTAAAGAAAATGGGGCAATTGGAACTTTCAGAATCCACAAAAGGCAGAGATAGATGAAACCTGGGTACCTTTCTTCAGGAAAGAAAGAAAGCTCACATGGTGGCCAAAAATAGCTAACATTTCTATCCGATACCTCATAAATGTAAGTTACAAGCTCAACAGCTTGGCTAAAACTGCTCATTTAGAATGGTAATATATTTAAAAAAAATATGTCATAGTATTTCACACTCAAAAATATAAGAGAGCTATAAATTTTTTATGGTGAAAGGTACTTTTGTATAACTGGCAGTTTGCTGTGAATGTGGCAAAAGATAGGTCAGGCAGTTGTCATAGGAAGCAATATTTTATATCATGCTCTTTAATTTTAACATTAACAAATATGCTTACACTGATAGCCATTCCATTTAATGGCACTGTGTCTTCAGCCTTTGTTCTAGAGGCTTTATTGGTCATTTTTGTCTTCATGTTATGAAACTTCCGTGCTTGGTAACCTCGAAAGGCAGCTTGTATCTTTGTGGCTGCAAATTCTCGCTTCTTTCCAGTCTCCATAAATTCCTTCAAAGTTTTAGTCACCTCCTTTTTCACTATATAAAGAATTCAAGTATCAGTTAAACTCCAACATTCCAGTGAAAGAAATATTAATTAATCAGAGAGACAAAGCTAAACTCTACAATAAGGAATATTTACCCATTACATCAAGTTTCTTTACATCATTCTTTTTTGGTTTAACATGGTCCTTTATTGTAATTGGCACCTTAGGCTGAATGTCTGTTGGAGACTCCAATTTACTCTTAGAATCAACAGAAATCTTCAAATGCATATCCTTCAATATTTTGGCCACCTCTTTCTTCACTGCAAAAATAAATCTGGTTTTGTTAAGATATGTCATGGGAACAGATAATAGCAATCCACTGTGAAAGCAAGATATTTGGCATAAAAAGATAAGATAAGTGAGAGATATTAAAGATTATTGCTTAAATAATAAAATTGCCATTTCAATGTCTGTGTTGCCTTGAGCTGTCTTTGAAATCAGATTAAAAAAATACATGTTTCATTTGATAAGATTCTCTTTCCCATATTACTCAGTTGGTGAACTGGTTTCAATTCTGTTATATCACCTTGCATATACTGCTACAGGAAACTTTTAGTGACTCTAAATGTAATACTAGCTCAGAAAGAATTTGTGTGTAACCTGGCAAGTCATCCCTGAGTCTGTAGGTACAATCCTAAACACTTCTGCTCATTACAGGACTGAACTGTACCTTCTTGCATTTATCAGATCAGCAATTTGCTTAAGACTTGACACAATATGGACCTGGAATTTACAAGAAGTGATAAACTTGCTACCTTTCATGAACTGTTTCACACACCATGAATTTGTAAGACTGTTTAAAGCTGATGATCTCACATGGATGTGCATTTTTATGTGATATCAGAACTGCAAATGTTTGTGGCATGTTGAAAATCCATTCAAATGCATTCAGGAAAACCTGAAGGGAAGATTCTCATGAATTCTGTTCCACAGGGTTGGTTAATCAGAGGTTAACATCATTTTTCACTGAGACCAGTATTAAATCTGTGCTTCAGATCTTCTTGAGTAGCAAATTTACGTAATTACAAACTTTACTGAGTAAGAAAACCAGTCACATTCGCAAAACCTGTCCACTCTACACAGAATATTCACAACCCATACCAAACCAACAGGCATTAGGTTAAAGTTTGTCCCTGTGCTTAAGAATCAAGATATAAAGGCATATAGGGGTACAAAACTCTTAACCTTAGCAGCAGATGAAGGCAAATGGGAACCAGAAAAAGGAATAAAATGTGATAACAGCAAGTTGACTGATCGCTGGCTTGTATCCAGACATCTTTACATTAGTACAAATGGCAATTTCATCAACGTATGTGCCACATATTAATTTAAACTATATAAAAACACCTCTCTGATTATTTCTATATTACTGAACCTATCATCAAATAGATATTTATTTACTTATTTCTACTTTTATTACCCAACAAGTTACGTACTTTACTACATGCCTATTATCATCTACAAGTATGATGTGCTTTGTGCTACAGAGTCAACTGCATAGGAAAGCAGCATTAAGTATGACTGGTGTATGTGCTTGTGCACATCTGTATATGAAGACTCTTAGTTATGCTGGTTTCTGCAGTGATGGATCAAACAACAATGATGTTGCCTGCTGATAAATGATCTAATCAGCGTTGGGAATCACATTAAAATTCATGAGGACTATGATATAGTTCATACATAAGATGTGCTGAAAAGTTATTTCTTGTTTTGAAATTCTTATTTCTCCTAAACTCTAGCAGATGTTTAGCTGTTACTTGAGAGTTCATAAACAGAACTCCTACTGTTACCACCTATTAAGAGTAAACAATGGCTTAAAAATGAAACCTAGAAGAATGAGTAAAAATTACATAAATTTATGTTTGTATATTGACACTGTCAGCAGCTGAGATGGCAGGATGACTGTAGTAAATAGTGAATTAGAAAGGACGTGGGAGGAGGTTATAGATTAATTTGAGGTTTCATCCTGGCATTTAGTTGGAAGGACTGAAGAAAACCACAAAAAACCTCAGCCAGGATAGTTGATGGTCTGTGCCATGATTCAAACTGGGCACCTCCCAAATATAAGTCAGAAGCATTATTGCTTGAGCCAACTTTCCTAGTAATTAGACCAAGATAAAAAAGTATGGTATTGAGTCATTAATGTTCAGATATGATGTGCAGTCACTCAAAAATGTACCAGAAGGTTAGAGAAGTGTGTGGCCAATGTGGAGCCAACAATAAATTATAACTTTGTAATTAAGATTTTTAATANCATCCCCACCATTAGCCCGGATAATCGAGAGTTGACTGTAGTTTCTGTCAGAAATAATGTAAACAGACAACATTTATATTTCCTTCCAGCTAAAGAAATGGTTTCAAGACTCTTTTTGTTTATAAGGCATAACATATTACAAACATGGAAGGACTTCCAGATGGTATATGAATTTAAATCTTAAGGCAAGTTCAGTGTTACACTTAGTCACAATACAGATTTTGTATTTGAAATATAAACACATCACTTATTCACTACTTTTTTTCAGACTGTGTTATTATTACTGTAAAGAGAAATGGACATGTTTGTAAATGCTTGAATGCATCCCTGTACTTCTTAGTAATAGGAAAAAAGATAAATATTTACCTAGTATATCAACTTGCTGAGGGTCAGAGCTTCTGAACTGTTTATGTTTTGCAGATGTAGATCCAATTTTTTTGACTTCATCTGTCCTTACAGGATGATATTTAGTTAGGAAATCATCAACAGTTTCAATATTTACATAATCATTATTTTTCAGTTGTATTTTGTTATCCATCTTCAACATTTTTCGTACTAGAAAACCACGAAAAGCAGCTTGAATTTTTGTAGCTGCCAAATGTCTGCTCTTTGTTCCTTCAATATATTCTTTCAGTGTCTTGGTAACACCCTTCTTCACTGTTTTCAGAAATCAAAAAATATTTTAATATTGTGCAACAAAAAAACAAATGATGAAGTCAATCACAGTCAATTGCTACAATGGCAGTATTGATGCACTGAAAACTGTTAACCAGAATAAAATAAAGTTCACCAGAATCTAAGAAAGAGAATAACTAGCATGTCCTATAAAAGGTTCAGACATATGCAAATACCTTGTCTTCTAAGTAACATAATCCAGGTTTAATGCTAAATGAATTATCATACATACAGACTAAATAGTTAAGTCTGGCAGGACAGAGTCTGCAGACAACTGGAAAGTAATTTTTATAGTCTTCTTTCTTTTAAATTATTAATGATGTTGCAGCAATGTTCAGATGAAGGGGCATGAACAGATTTAACACACCCCTCATAAGAACTGCATCAAGGGCCCAAACTTTAATAGGGATTTTCATAATTTATGCAGTGTTATGAGTGCCACATTTACAGATCTAAATCCAGAAAGAGTTTACTATTGGGAATATTGAATTTTATGTATTTTAATGCATCAAAATCTTGCTATTATGACATTCATTAATAAAACATGTCACATTATTCAACATATTATATCACCCTACAGACTGGTGTTCTCATGAAAACTCTTTAACTATATATTTACATTCTGAGTCTATATTTTTTGCCAGCTGTGATAGATTTGAGGTTATCAGGGCGATAACTACAATGAATATTACCATATAGTCAAGTAGAAGACCATTGATATTTTGGGGGACCATACTGTCTTTGTTTTCTCTGTCGAAGTGTAAGCCAAGGTGAGACAAGCTGCTTGTCACCTACTTCTTGCTGGTTTATTAATTGGCTCATTCTTCAACTCTGAAGAGGTAGGAAGTACATTCCTCAGAAACCTCAGTGAACTCTACTGGATTACATGGTTTTACACCTTTTTATCACACTCTTAGGGCAATTCATATCTATTTCTTTATTTTGGGTGATAATCGATGATCAAGATTCAAGTAGGAATGAGGAAATCAAAGCACAGAAATCAGACTTACCTCCAGACAAGGTCTGTTTCTCTCGACAATAAGGCTGGAATGAATTACGATGATGAAATGTTGAATCTTCCGTCATAAGTGACAGAACCACTGGTTCCAAACTCAAACCACCAGACAATGCTTCTGTATTATCAGCATTTAGAGGAATCTGATTATCACACTCCTTTTGAGGGCTTGCACTTTTTAACTGCTCAAACTTACCAACTAAACCACGAAGACGAGGAGGTGGCCATTCTGGAGAACTCTTTGTGTCCTAGAAAAAGAATAAATGGAAAGTGTTACAATATTATGTTTAAGCACCCTGTTACACTCTACACAATATATGCACAAACTCTGTCCTAAGTGCAACAATTTATTGTAGTTCTTTTGTCTTCCTTTCTTCTACACTACATGTTTCAGTCATAAACGGCCATCATCAGGTATACCCTCTCACATAGCTGCTACACTGCACGTAGTTTAAAATTTAAAAAAACACCAGTCTTTCCAATTGTTCACTTCTCCATTGCTAACAGGTTTTGATATATCAGAATCCTCACCGCTGATATCTGTCAGATATGTACAAAATCTTTGTTAACCTACACACATCGATTTGATTTTCAAAAACTGGCACTATTAAAATCTTTAATTCAAATTTAAAAATGTTTTTAATTTTTTTTTTCAAATTTTAAAATTTAAAATTCTCAGGGGCACACACCCTATGTCTATAGTGCTGCAGTGGCTACTTCTTGTTTTCAGAACTGTTCAGGTATTATTCTGTGCAGGCTCCCTGTGTGCGTGTCGCTGCTTATCTTTAATACGTATAATACGTGACATGTATGATGCAAGCTCATTCTAATGCATATCACAGTAACCATTATTAGCATTATACCACAACCGATACCTGGGGGCTCCTAGTGGGTTCTTTCCACTAAAAACTCACCAGTGGTCAATTTAGATGAACTACTAAAATTCCTATTGAATTTTAACACTGGCCTTCAAACCATGAATAAATGATATTCTCATACACTGGCTATAAAATTACATAAAACTTCATATCAAAATTTGTCTTAATGGGCAAACATTCTTTATTGTAAAGTTCAGTTGTGCCATTATAATTGATTAATACTGCCTTCACTTGAATATTGCAGCGAACCTGATACTTGAGAATGCTTCATATTGATGACTGTCTTTTATCTAGCATAGGTCAAGTTAGAAATGCCATTTTTGGTTTCAGCAAGTACATTATGAAGAAAGCAGTCTTCTGGGATTTGGCACCGTGTATATGTGGTGTTAACTGACGTTTCGGAGGAACGTATCGCCCCCATCTTCAGGGTAGAAGAAAAAGTATAAGAAATCTGCAAGCGACAACACCGTGAGAAACGGTAAAGCAGACTCAGACTCTCACAGTGTTGTCGCTTGCAGATTTCTTATACTTTTTCTTCTACCCTGAAGATGGGGGCGATACGTTCCTCCGAAACGTCGGTTAACACCACATATACATGGTGCCAAATCCCAGAAGACTGCTTTCTTCATAGTCACCGCCGTGAAAGCCTCAAATCTTACAAGTACATTATGATTCATATTATTCCATTTTAAAAATGACATTACTACTCTCACTTGATTTAAGAACAGTTCAGACTACCTTTCAAATGCAAGAGGGTTGCAGTCTATTAATTTTTCTTAAATTATATGTACATATATCAGGGAAGCCAGGATAGTGCAGTTGGTATAGTGACTGGCAAGAGGTTGGAAGACAAAGGGGTTGGAGTTTGAGTAGTGATTAATTAATTATGCACAGGAAGAACTTTACCTTTACCTGTATTATGTGTCAGTGTAAGTATTTAAATACCTCTGTAGTTATTGCTTCCATCTCATGTACAAATTAAAACTGTGATATCCGGCTGGAAAGCCCATCCTGGATAACTTTTACTCCTCAGATTTCATTCTAGTTAACAAACTGTTTCAGACTACTGTCCTTTTCCCTACAGATTATTTAAGAATTGTTGCAGCATCAAGAAAGACAGTATCAGACACTATTAATGACCATGCTTCTGTTTATCATCATTTTATAATCAAAATCAATACATATTTCTGCATTTGTTTTCCTATTTCATTGTTGCCACTTTTATAGTTTTCTTATGTACAGGACTTCTGCCCTGCAATAACACAAGTCAATACACTACACACTTGTCTTACCTTACTACTCAGGGTGACATCTGTCATGTGCCTTGGAGTTTCCACCTTATATTCTTTATTTTTCAAATGACCAAATTCCTTGAGTTCCTTCTGCAGAGTTGCTCCCATATTTTTTAAATTAATATTAATATAATTTTCTTCAGCTTCAGCCATAACTGTATCAACATGCTGATTGTCAGATTTCATTTCTTCACTAGACTCTTGGTAGCAGTGGCCTTCAGAAGCTGTCACCTGAACAAAGTAATGTGTAAGGATATATCAGCATTCTTGAAAATGTATATAAAAGAAGGGAAACAGGAAACAAAAAGTACACAGGACCTCTGCACAACTTTATGCTCAATAACTATCTACAGTGTAATTAATTTTACAAACAAACTTAGGCCCAACAAGAACAACAGTGAATATATAACTACTATACTTCTCACTCAGCAGAGTGAGAGCAATAAAATGACAACCATTCAGTTTCAGAAATTCCTTATGTCTTTTGGATACATTATTCACTGCTTGTCATTCTTATTCAAAATTGATATCACATGGTTGCAACATACATCTTGAGAGCTTCAGACACTGGATATAAGAAATGAGAAATAAATACAGATTGCTATGAAACTGTTGCTGTACCACAGCTGAACTATTAGATACCGGCTTTGGTTCACGGAGGTCCAGGTGAAATAAATAATACTGCGTCAGGTATTCTCCAAACAGTTTAGTTACCATGCTGATTACATTTCAAACAGAACCTCAAGCATGTATCAAATCTGACTAGTCAACATGTTATCACAGTCCTGATGACTGGAGTACAGATACTGAAGCCGGTAAGAAAGAAGTTAGGAAATGTATGCAGAGTGAAACTTGGTCCCTCATATTAAGGCAAGAACACAAACTGGGGATGTCTGAGAACAGACGCAAAGATTGTTTAATCTAAGAGGGAGGAAGTAAGAGGAAGCTATAGAAAAATTACATGAGGAGCTTCATCATTTGTACTAACCAGATATTACTAAACAATCAAATCAAGGAGGATAAGTTGGACAGGACATGTAATATGCATGCAAGAGAAATGAAATGCAAACACAATTCTGGTATGAAAATCTGAAGGACAGAGATTACTTGGAAGGCCTAGGCACAGATGGGAGGATAATATTAAAATAGATTTTAAAGAAACAGAATGATAAGATATAGACTGGAATCATGTGGTTCAAGATAGGGACCAATGGCAGGTTCTTGTGAATATGGCAATGAACTTTTGTGTTCTGTAAAATGTTGGGTATTTTGACTAGAGCAATGACTAGCTTCTCAAGAAGAGCTCTGCTCCACTTATTTAGTCTCAAAGAAGCAAATCAGTGCTCAGATGGAATGAAAATATAATTTCCAAAGCTACAACCTCCTTTTACACTCAATGGGCTGACTAGACAATACACTTGTCATAGCACACACTGTCATCATGACTGATTATGCAGAATTACTTATCGAAGCCTTGGTTTGTTGGATATGGTCTTCTGGACAGTAACATAATGTAGTAGTTTGGAGACAGCCCAGTGTTTCAGAGGAACATCTTCAGGGCTGAAAATCAGGGCAAGCAAGAAACCAGCAGAAGAAGGGGGCAAGCTCAGATGAAGGAGGTAGTATGTCCTTCAAAATTTTGGGTTTCCCCTGTTCAAAAACAAGTTGTGATGACATGAAACTGAACTAGGCTAGTATGGAACACAATGAATCTGGAAGCTAACTGATTAAACTTTCTTAAAAATTCATTCTGTTTGCTTTCTTTCATTTTATGCTGAGCACAAAAATCTGAGAAGAAGCAAAAAGTTAATGATTTATTTGAATGGCTTATGTTTGTGGATCAAAAGTGGTGCTTGAAAACTCATATTCTCCCTGTCAGCTACATGGATCACAACTCTCATTATCTAGTGCAGTCAGGTAGAGTATGAAATTTTTTGCTTTGGCAAGTATATTGTGAGTTGTGCTATTGCAATATAAAGATGAAGTTTCTACTGCCATTTAAATTTAGAACAGTGATGTCACTCAAACTGTAACTGGACTGCTGTCTACTTATTTCTTCTAAATTATGTATCAGTGTAAATGTTCAAATGCTCGACCACAGTACTTGAATACTGTGTAGTTATTACTCCAACTACTCATCACATACAAATCAATACTGTTACGTCTGGCTAGAAATCCCATTCTGCATAACCTTCACTTCTCAGATTACACTCCAGTTAGCAAATTGTTTCAGACTCTTTGTTTTTCTTTTATATATATATATTGTAACATGTTGTGCTATGGAGGACAGCCCNCCCCCCCCCCATGGTTAAGTGGCACCGCTTCCTACTGTGACGTGGCATGCAATGCCGCTTTTGACAAGGGCAACAGGCAACAGCGAACGGTATAAAAAGCCGGCTGAGCACTATGCAAGTTAGTGTGTGATCAGGAGGGACACAGAGTAGTGTGTGAGCAGGAGTGACAGTGCGATGGAACAGTTGCCGAGTTCAGTTGTAGCGGAAAGAAGAATACCGGAACGTGTGTTTAGAAGTGATAGCGTGAGAAGCAGATGCTTGGCTCACAAGAGAAATAATTGGGAGTGTGTAATAAAGTGACACTGGTATAGCTCCCATATCGTACTGTGAATACGTGTAGACTACTGAGGACAGTGGACAGAATAGTGTGTAGGGTTTGTAAATTGAGTAAACCTGTAACAGTGTTATAATTAATTGTAGCCAAGACTTGTAGGTTGTTAAATAAACCAATTAACAATCCGAACGGCGTCTTCAATGGCAAAACACTTTACAATATATATATTATTTGATGAAGCTTTCACACTTGAGACTGTATAATGTCAAACACTATTCATGAGTATCCTTTCATTTATAATAATTTTACAATCAATATCAATTTGTACACTTGTGTCTGATTTAATATTTTCATACTTTTGCTACTTTTCTAATTTTCTTATGTACAGGACTTCTGACCTAAAACAGCAAAAGTTCATAAACGCACACACATCTTACTTTACTTCGCAGAGTGAAACTTGTCATGTGACTCAAGATTTCCTCTTCATCTTCTTTATTTTTCCAATGACCAAATTCTTTGAGTTCCTTCTGTAATGCTACTGCCATATTTTTCAATTTAACATTTATATCATCATTTTCTTTAGCTTCAGTCATAACTGTATTAATATGTTGCCTGTCAGGTTTCATTTCTTCCCTAGTCTCTTGGTTACATTGCCCTTCAGAAGTTGTTACCTGGACAAAGTAATATGTAACGATAAATCAGCATTACTGCAAATGTATATAAAAGATGGGGAAACTGGGAAGGAACAACATACAGGATTCTTTTCACAATTTCATGCTCAATAACTACCTACAGTGTAATTAATTATACAAACATATTCAGGCCCAACAAGAACACTGCTTTATATGCACTCTACTGATAGCATGAAAATGGCAATTATTCATTTTCAGAAATTCCTTATTTTTCATTCATACATTACCTTTTACTATTCAACTTATGCAAAATTGAAATCAACTGGTTACAACATAAATCTTGAGACATTCAAAGGCTGGGTATGAGAACAGGGAAACAAATACAGATTACTATGAAAATTTGCTTAACCTCAAAAATGTATGAGGTCTGACCAATCAACATGTAATCACTTGTAAAGGCTCTAAGTATGGAGGGTCATGTCACCATGGGGAAAGATCCATCCCATGAATCCACCATTTACTACTTTTTCCACAATGGAAAGAGCAGCCGTATGGCCATTACTTCAGGTTATGTGGTTTCTAAGATTTGCATGAGTTCACGCATCATGATATCCAGAAACGTTCTGAACTGTATAAACACCGGCAGGAGCATGTAACTGCTGAAGAACAGTGTTATAAAGACGCCTGTATCAAAAGAAGTTTTAATGCTGCTGGATTCTAGACATGAGTCTCATTTAAGAAATTTTTAAGGTATCATATAAGAGTCAAGAATCTACCACATGAAGTCATGGATTTACCTGACACCTTCAGTACCACCACATCAACACAGTGATATTTCTTCTAGAGATCAAGAAAGTGTAACCGTTTACTAGTGGACTCGAATGTGTGAGGCCCTGGAGGGGAAGTGCCTACGTGATAATAGCACGACATTATTTCACATGTGCAGTTTTGCAGATGGAGAAGGGGTGGTGGATCCCCGGATTGGTGTGGGGAATGATGTCATCTAGGGTGTGGTGCTGGGAAGGCCCGTAGGTCCGTTAGCGTCGCCGAGCCAGTAGTAGGCAACAGATAATAAGAGACCCTCCTAGTGAGTGGAGGCACTTGCTTTGTTCTTTATAGAATCGCCTTTGTAAGCGAAACAGTGTAAATGTAACTGCCATAAATAGTGATTGTGACCAAAAATGAGTATATTAAACCTAAGGTAAAGCCACAGGTTAGTCGTGTTAAAGTTTCTACGAAGAAAGACCTGTTATCGACCTGAGACAGAAATCCATGCCTACCATTATCCTAAATCCAACCTGGTTACCTCAGTACCCAAATAGCAAAGAAGGGTAAAGGTGGAAGGAGCGGCAAGCAGGAGCAGCCATAGCAGCGATGAGGAGGAAAGGAGCGACCGGAGCAGCAGGCACAAAAAGAAGAAGAAGAGGGACGGTAGTAAAAGAACAATACTCTTTCATTAGCACGGCTGTTACATACAAAGCAATATGAATTGTATACTGTAGAATGGCAAGCAGAATACATGTAATAAACAAATTTAGATGTGAAAAAATTCTGGAAAGGTTAACTCAGATCAATGAAACACACTGACCCCCAAATATGGTCCTCCAGAGAAGACCACATTATGAAACAGAATTAACTATGGGGCCCTTTAAATAGGGTAACCCAGTCATAACATATTGAGATTTGATATGTGTCTACTGATGGAGACAGGTTGCAGTGTTTTGAAATGAATTTTAAGTAAAAAGTTGTGGTGACAAGAAACTGGTTTCCTGTGGATCAAAACAAGTTTTAGCTGTGACAATGTGCATCTCTAAGACTACAATATCAGAAAGTTAGAATCTAAGCTTACATTTTCCAGCTCCTGATGCTGCTGTATTTGTAGCTGCCTCCGCCTTGCTCTCCTGATATTACTTTGCAACAGTCTTAACTGTTTATCTTTAAGTTCCTTTAGATTCTTTTGTTTTGTTTCCTCTTGTTCTTGTTTTTTAAACTTCTCTTGAATCCGTTGCTGCTTACGTTTCTGTATCTGAAGTTTCACGTATTCCTTCTTAGCTTGACTGTCATGTAATGACAATGCAGAAAGATTCTTTTCATTACCGCCATCAATATCTGTGTCCTTCTTCACAGGCTTAAAAATATCTACAATTAAAATAAAATTAAAACATTAGTTTTTCTTTGTTATAATTGGGACACACATTCTAATGGTAAGCTACAACCAACGTAATGTGTCGTCCTTCATCAAAACAGACCCTGTCACACTCACAGAATACTTTGGTTGATACAACTGCTTGCATCTCATTTCCAGACATAAACCACCATCACTTAAAAGGTCAGACATTGTCAGAATCAGGAATGATGGGAGCTTAATTAAGCCTTTTGAGAACTGTTATCAAATACCTGTCACATGGCAAAATACAACTCCCGTTTTCTTTTTCTTGGAAAATGTTCAATGATAATGAGCAGGTTGCTATAATGGATGTCCCATAATTGCGTAATCATGCAATATTTACTTCCATTCTACCTTAATTTAATAGAATGTGATAAAAAGGTAAAGCTAACCCTGTAACAGGTCATGGAGGCCCATGGGGTTGTGAGGCGTTGAGGCTCGCACATTTTCTAGACAATTGGCTCATAGATGATGGTGAGGTTGTCACCCTTAAATGCCAGCCGCCCTTTACTCCCAGGACAGCATTAAGATTATTGAGGTCCCCAAAACTATTATTTTTCAATTGAAACAAATCAGATCCATGGAAGTACTATTACTTATGTCAAATGCTATGAAATTAGGGTAATACCATCTTCAAAAGCAAATTTTCTTTGCATGCAGTGAGAACACACAACAGATTACTGATGTTATTCTCTTAGAGTGGCAAGAACATTTGTGCATTTGCACCAGTGTGTAATAAGTACAATAAATTTTCCCACCAGAGTTCAAAGAAATTCTGCTACAGCCATTGATAATAAAATTATTATGTACGGCCTACAATAAATGGATTGTCTGATCATGATGCACAATCCATAATATTTAAAACAATAAACATGAGAAGACATGCTAAACAATTTAAAATATAAGGAAAATAAACAAACACACACCCAATAAATGAATTTTTAATTAAACTAAGTTAGGAAACATGGGACTCAACATTTTCTAGTGATGATGTTAATATAATGTTTAACTCCTTTTTAGACACTTACTTGAAAATTTACTATTCCAGTTTTCCAAAAAAAAAAAAATATAATTTTAAATGAAATAAGTGAATGGATTACTATAGGAATAAAAACATCCTGTAAACGTAAAAGAGTACTCTATATGGCATGTAGAAACAATAATAATTCAAAATTAAGAAACTATTATAAAAAATACTGTAATACCAACTGGATAGCACTGACTAGTTCTGTAAACCAGCGTTAATGGCTTTTTTGGATGTGGCCTTTACAGGTAAACAGACTACACAGTAAGGTCCCATTGAATGGCCACCTAGGTCACCAGATATAATGCTTTGCTTATTATAAGGGTATCAGAAGCTGACTGTACATGCAACGGACAATGAATAAAGAAAAATATAAATGGACTATTCTAAGATTGGTGTAATATCTTGAACCATGTTCAGGTATAATGTGCTTGTCCACTGCAAGAATGTAGCAAAGTTGATGGACAATATTCTGATCATTTTTTATTACGAGCATAAATTTTCTTCTTGTATTAATTGAAATCCCTATAGGTGTGACTTCTGAGCCATTCTATATATTCGACAGAAGCAAAGGGCCTCTCACATTATACAGGCTAGGAAGTTTGGCACAGTTACGCACATGTAAGCAAAATGTTTGAGTAGAACTAACAGAAATTTACCAGGTTGTGTCTGTTCACTTTCCTGTATCACAGGATGCTCTTCCTTTTGTTTCGGCAAATTTTCTGCTGAAATAAAACCAAATACTTGTTACAAAGCTGGAACAGAAACATAATTAGATGACAAGGCTCACGATAAGCTGAAATACCACAAGCTCAACAAGAATTCTAACAAAAGATGATATAACACATTATTCAAATACTGATAACAAGGTTTCAAGCTCAATTCCAATCACAGGTTGATACATCCATGCAACAATAACAGCCAACTATCAGCCATAGCATTACTTTTCAATAAAGTTTACAGAAATGAGCATTATCTGCATACACAAAATCCTTCTTGCTCCCCATTTCAAACTGCCAAAAAAAAAAGTCAGACATTATCATTATTGTTGCTGTATTTTAATTTACAATCCACCAATTATTACCTAACACTTTCAGATACTATGCGTTCACAATTTCTATAAATTATCATCTTTATTAAAATATCATACAAGTATTATGGGCTGCACATCACAATTGATTTTCTTTTAAATTACACAATAATTAAGAAACCATATGCATAACTGTAAAACTGCACATTTTAGTCTTTACATGTTTCGACAGGATATCATGAATGGCAGCAAACATTAACAAAATTTAAACTGTTCTTAATTTCTTTGTGAATACAACTTTGTTCCACGTCACTTAACACTTCAGATTCAGCATCTCACATTATAATATTACATGACTGAAACCAAATTTAAAGTGTACAGATCACGGTCTTCTGGAATGTGACCACATGCAGTTTGGTGGATAGGTACCAATGTTTCGGTGAAGATGGAGGTTGCATGGTCTTCTGACATGTTGGTATCCACTTACCAACAACATGCCATCACATCCCAGAATATGTCAAATCTGACAGTCAGAACATATATTTAAAACAAGAATCATTAAAAATACTATACATACTGTCTGTCTTTAAGGTGAGTTCCTTGACACGTTTTTTGCTCCCAGACCAAGAGCCAGGATAAGACTCAGTCGTCAGTTTTATGCTCTTGACCACTACATTACGTTCGCGTGGTGGTGGGATGGGCTGACGCTCAGGTAAAGGTTTGAGGACAGTGAACTTCCTCACTATGTTTGGCAAACGTTCAACTATCACATTATTTGAGCTTCTGGAAGGTTCTTTAGGAACAGGGGTACCTAATAATGAGCACAACTGAACCCCTCCATCAGCACCTGGAAAACAAAACAGAATATAATGCAGACCGACATCTACAACAGCTGATCAAAATGCCTTGCATAACTCTCAGTTAAAATTATGTTCATATTATTTATTTCATCACTATACAATATGAAATTCTGCATACATAAAATTTAAATTCTACAGCCATTGTTACAAATCTGAGATTTTTTTATGACAGTTGGTACAATGAATAATCAATTAGGCTAAATTTTTTTCAGGATACAAAATAGGCCACATACATAAAATATAACTAAAATTATCTTTGTACATTTTCATAATTAATTCATAAATTAGGGCCAGTGACTTAAAATAAAATCCAAATTCAGTGATCTTTGTACATGGTCACTGTATTACAAAATTGTTCTATGATTTCTTTTCATTATCTGACACTTTGCATGTGATGTAATTACCGTTTGTGTTAACATAACACAAAAGTTAGTTATTATCTTATCATTCGTGTGATTTTATACTGTTCTGATATTTTGTAATTCTGTCAGCGACCACCTCTGTGGTCAGAGTTCTGGCTACAGATCCAAAGGCCCGGGTTTGATTCCCGGCACTACCAGATTTTCTGAGAAATAGTGGGCCTGGAATGGGGTCCACTGATCCTCATGAGGATAATTGAGGGGCTATTTGAAGGAACTAGTGGCTCTGGTCTAGAAAACCGAAAATAATGGCCGTGGGGATTTGTTGGGCTGACCACACGACACCTTCTATCCTCTAAAGATGGCACTAACTTCACCAACAAGTGGCGGTCACTCAGTAGGTAGTTTGCTTGCGGACTAAAACCCGAGAGTTCTTTTTTGTTTTGTCATTTGAGATGCACGCCAGATTTGCAATCAATATATTGTGTTTTCATTCAAGGTTTTCAGACTCCAAGTAATGAACTAATTAGTATATAGTAAACCCTAATCTAAAAGAATTAACTTTGATCATGAGAGGAAGGACAAGTCAAGATTGGCAAACATGTGTGTACGGAAACACAGTGTTACTGTACATACTACAACAAATAAAATCCACCAACATTTTATCACAATGTGATTTAGTGCATTATTATATACAGTCAACATACATCACAGAAATGACAACAATAAAAGCAGTACCTTACTGTACTATGCACCACACATCCATAGTGTACTTGCTTTTCCTGGGATATCCCAGTCTCCAAACAAAATGCAATATGACTATGATGAAATCTATACAGGCAGCAACAAATTGTACACACTCTGTTGTTGTTCGACAAAAAGTTTGGAGCATTTTTAGGTTTCTTCCAGTCCTGACAGTTTATAAGCTAAGAAATCCTCTTTTGTTAAATGCTTAAACAAAAATCCTGTTCCTGTTTTTCATTTTATTGAATACATAGAAGATGCAAGAAATCACTGACAGTGAAACCAATCTTGAGATTTTGACAGATTTATGTGTTTTCAGTCCCCTTGATACAAAGAAGAGATATAAGAATGCCATCAGTCTGTATGGATGGATGTGAGCTTCACTGGCCCCTGAATGGTCTGGCAGATTTTGTTCATATATATTTACTGTGTGTGATGAAAGAATTTTTAAGCAAAATCAATAATTATGCATTCTTTTCATGAAGTGTGGCAAATGAATGTACAACGAGGGGGGGGGGCTTCCAACCATATGGTTCATATCCAAAACTATGTAATGGGCATTCATTAAATGTAGTATTTTGAGCCAAAAGCTGTTGTTCCTTTATAACCCCTATGCTGCATGATTCAAATGGAAAGTTTATCAATATTCTCATAATGGCTTACTTTGGAAAAGTGGAAACAGGACAGTGTTTAAGGAACAATAAGATTCAATAATTTTTTACTGCATGTGTAATGACCAGCATTGCAGCAGTAATAGTAAAACACGCTTTTATCTGCAACAAATGAATATCAGGGCCAAAGGGGGTAAGTATCAAAATTTGTAGAAAATTCATTTGGAAAATTCTGGAGTACATTTTTCCACTCCTGTACTTTTCAGTTGGCTTTCCTCAGCACCTTATCGAAGTTTATCAGTCCTGGATGACTCCACCTGCATTCAACATGAGATACTCGAAGTGCAGTGGGCATAAATACTCATCTCCAGTGAACAGTGGCTAAATAGGCCATACAGGCAGATGCTGGGGCAGTATGTATCATGAATGCACATGTCAATTATGCTGCATCTACTAAAACGGGCATCCCCCCTACCAAAAGTGAGGTTGTTCTGAGGCTGTAAAAATGGTTTCTGTTCCTTTCTATGGTAACCTTTATTCTACAAGCTGATTATCAAACTTCTTCCTACTTGCTATGAAATAGAGGTTTATGTTTGTTCGTTATTTGACCAAATAGTCAGATTTTCATGGGACCCAACATGCATATAGTGTTACTTGTAGCATCTACATTATAATATAAACACTGCGACCATCAAAACCCTTGGGGCGAACTGCATTAGAAACATTTCATGTCACTTCGTGTAGTGATAGACGTTGGGTACATATGCAGAAGTATTTGCCAACTAATATGTCACTGATGGTTGTGGCATTCATACATCTTAACAATCATTAAGACTTGTGTGCCAATGTAAAATAACATGAATGGCCACTAAGTGATCTCCGTGTTATCTTTTCGCTTGGCATCACTAACTAACGTACCACTGTGAGTAAAAGGTAAAGGTAAAGCTATCGCTGTAACAGGCCGTGGAGGCCCATAGGGTTGTGGGGTGTCGAGGCTCCCACATTTTCTCTAGACAAACAGCTCAAAGAAGGCCATGAGGTTATCGGCCTTTCGCGCCGGCTGCCCTTTACCCCCAGGAAGGTTCCTGGTAATCATTTCTGTTAGAGGCTGAGTCGATCCTAGGGGCCATAGTGCGACTGGAAGAATTAGGTTAATTAAAAAAAGCACCTCATCGGGACTCGAATCCGCGACCTTCCGGCTTGTAACACAGTGCCTCAACCAACTACGTTACGGCGTGCCCCACTGTGAGTAGGCAGTGTTTCTTTTTTCAGGAGGTACGCATACCGGCAAGCAATTGTTGAGCACCAGGAAACTTATGAAAAGACAAAAGGCGGTATCTGCAGATATATTGCAAGCTTCGACCTTGAGGCTAAATTCGAGCATGACAATACCAGCAAAAGTGCTGGGGGAGGGGGCGTTGGCAATACGCACTTACCATACACATCACACTGTTTGCAAGGAGATTTTTTCTTTATTTTAAAAACTGCAAACTTCGCGACCATTGCCTCTGACAACTTTACATTATGTGAAATGAATGCAGACCACAAAATGATAAGCATATAAAGTTACAGTTTTGTGTGACTAAAGAGATGCAAGTGTCGTAAAATTAATGCCAGAACGAACTGAAAGAATATGCATGGAAGCGAGATAGGCCTAAGAGAAGAAAGTACTATCCATCATTTTCCTGCGAGATTAAGGAAAATCAGAAAAGAAAATCCCCGGAACTAGCCTCGAACCCGGAACCTTCAGAATATAAAACAGATGTGAAAATAAAACAGTTTGATCACACTCGTTTGAGTGTTAAAAGAGTTCGATAATTCATCAAACGCCGAGCCATTAAGAGAAATGCATCTTTTTGATTTCTTTCAGCTGGCGCTGTTTTGACCTGAGTGCAGTGTATTAACTACACTCGCAACCTTTCTACAGTAATTACTATGTACACACGGCGTCATGAAAAAAAATTATAAAAAGCACCTACCGTTCGTAAAAGAAATTACGTAACTTGTCTTGTTTGGAATAATTCAACTGTAATTACTTTCAAGGTTCCCAGAAAGACGCCTTCCTGTCCCGTGGCACTTTACCTACCAGTATGCAGTAAATTTGCAGAACACGGTTTAACATCTATGTAAATCCGTAGCTAAGAAACAAAAGCATAGAACAAAAGCATACGCTAACAGTTTGCTGAGCTGGTATCAGGAACATGCAGGAAAGTTCCGTCCTCCTGATCGGCGCGTGGCACGAAGCAAATCAACACGGTAACAGTGCAGAAGATCTCAATACGAGACCTTCCGCTGTGCCTGTATACCAGTTGCACGAAACAGGATGCTTCCCTGTTCGTCCCAATATCCGTATCCTACATTTCAGCCACTTGCCTCTGAATAATCTGACGAAACTTGCCTAACATTCTTATATTTCACACAGATGTCCACTTGATACTGGTGCTAACTTCTAGAACAAATGCTGCACAGTGTACACAACAGTTGCTAGGGAACGGCTCTGCAAAAACACACCCTTGTTAGGCAAGAGATTCTTAACACGCAACATTGGAGTAACTTGAAAGCGGCGTTCTCTAAGCGATCCGTGCTGACGTTCTATAACGAGCAGTAGTTGCGATTACGACAGAGTTTTGAGACGGTAGTTAGGAGAGCAGGTGTTAGCTGTGAGACAGTCGCCGGCCAGTAAGGAGGTGAACACAGAAGCTGAGACAGCTACAGAATTGGAAGCCGTTACCAGGCCACAACCGGTGAAGATACAGCAGAAGGAGAATACTTCGTACGTGTTGTAGTGAACTGCAGTGTGTTATGTTTTCCCTAGTGGGGTGCCCTTGTACTGCGGCCACATTTGGCCTTTTGTACCAGCCCCAGATGATAGGTGAGGGTGATTGTGGGGCAATTAGTGGAATAAAGATTGGCAGGGGAAACCGAAGTACTCGGAGGAAACCTGCCCCAGCGCCACTTTGTCCACCACAAATCCCACTTGACTAGACCGGGGATCGAACCCGGGCCACCGCGGTGGGAAGCCAGCGACTAACCGCGGCCACTTATGTGCGTCCCCCTTTAATTTCTGTCTACCCCGTTCAGCCAACGAGGTACCTGATATTTCCCCCATCTACCAGAGGCATTGGAAACTACTTGGGCGGGAAACTTGTTGCCTAATTTTGCTCAGAGGTCTCCTAGAGACATGAGAATCTTTTACGTGCCGTAAATCTACGACACGGGGCTCACGGCTTAAAGTCCCTCCCGGAGGACTTGTTCCCTGAATTTTTCCGCCCT